ATGTGAAATTACTACATCAAAAATCGTGAATTTTTTTAAAGTTCCTTGTACATCTTGCCTAATTGCTTTCCAGAAAGCAAAAGTCTTTCCAATGTGTATCCCACCTACATAATATGAAAGTGCCTATTAATTAAACTTTTGCCAGTAGCGCATATTATAAATTGACGAATTTTTCAATGTGATAAGTTAAAAATGGTCTCTATTTTCACATGCATTCCTTTGATATTAAGAGTGAATGGTTTACATATTTTTCTATTGAGGCATTGGTATTTTTTTTACTAACTTTTATATACACACGCATACACATACACACCCATACATGCATAGAGAGAATAAAATACATTATCCTCTTGTTTTAAATTTGTTGAAAATCATGTCCCCAGTTCATCATTTGACTTTTCATTCAGTACTTCATTCCTTTTTATGGCTGAATCATATTCTTTTTTTTTTTTTGGGGGAAGGATAATTTTTATTACTTTTATGTACAGGAAACAACAGTGTACATTTAGCCCAGTTTAGTAGCAAGTTCTTTAGCCTTTGCCTTTTCCAGCTTGGCGATGCGGGCCACAGATTTTGGACCCAGGATGTTGCCTCCCCAGTGATGATGGATCTTGTCGTATCTGTCGTTGTAGTTGGTCCTGATGGCTTCCACCAGCTTGGCCAGAGCTCCTTTGTCTTCAGAGTTAACCTGCGTGAAGATGACAGTGGTGCAGGTCTTCCTGTGGACTAGACGCCCCAGCCTGGCCTTCCCCTTGATAATGCAGTAAGGGACCCCCATCTTCCGACACAGCGCAGGCAGGAAGACAACCAGCCCGAGGGGATCCACATCATGTGCGATCACCACCAGCTGAGCCTTCTTGTTCTCCACCAAGGTAGTGACGGTGTTGACCCCTGCTCGAAGGGCAGGTGGTCTCTTAGTGGGGACATCCCCTTTGCCGGCAGCTTTCTTCTCAGCCCGGGCCAATAGTCACTGCTTCTTCTCTTGCTTCGTCTCTGGTCTGTACTTGTGAGCCAGCTTAAGCAGCTGAGTAGGTGTTTGGCAGTCCAAGGCCTGGGTGAACTGGTTAATGGCAGGAGGCACTTTCAGCCGCTTATAGAGGATCGCTCTTTGCCTCTGCATACGGATGTAGTGGGGCCATTTGACAAAGCGGGTGAGGTCCCTTTTGGGCTGGATGTCCTGTCCAATGCTGAAGTTCTTCGGCCTCTTCTCGAACAGGGGGTTCACCACCTTCTTGGCCTCCTGCTTCTTCACCACGGTGGGGGCCGGAGCCACTTTCTTGCCCTTGGCCTTCTTTCCCTTTGGCATGTTGGGCGGCTGGAGCAGAAAGCTGATGACTGTTTTTGTTTGTTTGTTTGCTTGTTTGTTTGTTTGAGATAGGGTCTCTCTGTCGCTCAGGCTAGAGTGCAGTGGCCGGATGGTATCTCACTGTAGCCTTGAACTCCTGGGCTTAAGCAGCCCTCCTGCCTCAGCCTCCCGAGTAGCTGGGACCACAGGCATGCACCACCACACCTGGATGATTTTTTTATTTTTTGTAGAGACAGGCTCTTGTTATGTTGCCCAGGCTATTCTCAAACTTCTGGGCTCAGTAGATCCTCCCACCTCAGCCTCCCAAAGTGCTAGGATTACAGGTGTAAGCCACCACACACAGCTCTTTTGATGACTGTTTTTGATGTATAGAAGTTTTCAATTTTGTGTTGCCATGTTGTTTTTCCCTTTACGATGTTTTCTATTTCTCGTTTGATTAAAGAGTCCTTATCTGAGTCTTAATTATTACAATTATTTAATTAGATTCACCTTATTTTCGAAGGAGTCAAAAGTTGTTTATGCTTGAATCTGAATTCTACTTGATTTTTATTTTTAAATTTTCATGTGTAATATGGTGTAAAGTTTCAATTTGGTTATTTTTTCTCCAAAAGAACCAATTGGTGGGGTGCAGTGGTGCATGCCTATAGTTCAAGCTACTCAGGAGGCTGAGGTGGGATGATTGCTTGAGCTCAGGAGTTTAAGTCCAAATCCAGCTTGGGCAACATAGTGAGATGCCCATCTCTAAAAAAAAAAAAAGAACCAATATTGTCTCAATTCCATTTGTTTCCAAAAGTCTTGGAATCTCTTTTCTAATTGGCAATGGTAAAAGGTGACCTGGTGGCTTCAGCTAGCAATGCAGCTGGACTTGTTTTCTCACTCCTCTGTGTCCATCCAGCTACAGGGAACTAGAGGGCAGGGGCTATCAACTTGGGGTTTGAGGGGAAGGGAAGAGTAGGGCACCATTACCCTCTCCCTAGGCTCTTAGGACAGCTCAGCTCATGGGGGCAGAAAAACTCTGAAAAAAGGCATGTTTAAAGATCTGGCCTATGTGCTTTTTGGGATGCCCTTTCCTGCCAGCACTGCCAGCTCCAGGCTGCCTGGCTTGTTGGAGGTGTTCCCTGTAGCTGACCATTGTTACTAGCTCTTGAACATTCCTCAGAGAGACCTTCCCTGATCACTCTAATAAAACAGCAGCGTCTTGTCACTCTCAACTCCCTGCTTTATTTTTCCTCATAGTACCTCTTTGACATTTTATTCACACACACATGTTCTTATCTCCTCATTAGAGTGTAAGCTCTGTAAAGGCAGAAATATTGGATTGTTCTTCTCTCTGTTTCTCCATCTTGATCAGTATCTGACACAGAGTAGATATCCAACATCTGGAAGCTTTAAAATATTAAAATGTGAATACCATAGTTTACACAGTCTAGAGAAAAACTGCCTTCTAAGTACTCTATGATAATAAGTTCTACCACCTAGGGCTTTTAATCTAATCTGCAAAGGATTGTCTAAGAAGGAAAATTCTGGAAAATAGTTTTTAATGAGAACTTGTATGAGGATATTTGACACATATTAGTTGATTAATCCTCACTGAAGCCCTTTAAGGCAGGCATTATCTCCATTATCACAGATAAGCACACAAGAACTCTGTTAGATTGTAGCTTGAATAATGCCATGTGTATTGAAGGTACCAGATCCAGGAATTCAGATCTACCTGACCCCAACAGCCAGGTATTTTTTCATTGCAGTACACTGCTTCCCATGGGATATTGTCAGAGATGCTTAATATACATTATCCATTCAGAAAAAGAGAGCTCAAGTGAATTACTTGGTTTCATAGCTCTGGACAGCTGCAATTTGTCCCTAGGTTTTCTGACACCCACGCAGCCCAACAAGTGATAGCACAAAATAAGTAAGCCATGAAAGACCATGAAACCTTCGCACCCTTCTCCTAGGAACTAGAAACCTCCACATCCTGTTAGACAGTAGTGGACACAGAGTCAATCAGAGTCGATTCTGAGGTCTTATCTTCCAAAGATGACGGAAGGTCTAGGGTTTTGGGGAAGAGAATAGTAAGACAGTTGATTCTTTTCAAAGACAATATATATTCATTCTCTCATTCAATAAAGAGGTATTGGGTTATGACCATGGTCTGGGCATATAGCTAAGCACTATGGATACAGTGATGAATAAATAAGATAGACATTGTCTTTGGTCTCATGGAGCTTACAGACTAGAAAAGATCTTATAGAGCTAAAATTATGCTGCTGCCTCCATAAAGTTATGTTTTCATTTATTCATTCCAGAAATATCTATTGACTACATACTATGTGTCATGCTTTGTGTTAAGAGCCTGGAATAAAATGGTGAGCAAAACCAGACATGATTCCTGCCTTCACGAAGCTTATAGTCTAATGAGGGAGATAGTAAATAATCACATGCATACATGGTGCTACCAGAGCCTACAAATAGGAGAAACAGGCTTAATTAAATTAGGAGACTCTTGCTTGAGGAAGTACCATTTACACCGAGATTTGCAGGATGAATAGGAGTTAACTAGGCAATGAGAGGAGGGAAGAACATTCCAGGTAACTCACATATCATGTTCAAGATCCATCGTAAAAGAAGAGATGGTGTGCAGGAAGTCTTTGAAAGAGGCCAGTGTGGCTAGAGAGTCAGAAATAAGCATCCTGGTGCAGATGAGCCTGAGAGGTAGGCAGGAGCAGACTCATAGGGTATTGTATGAAATCTGACATATATGCTAAGTCAAAATCCTGCAGTGTGCTTTCCCAGTTGGTCTCTACACTAAATCCTTGCTGGGGACACAGAACCTTGGAGCAGAGAAGCTCACTGTACCAGCGAGGAGGAAGACGACTCATCACAAGGATCTGCACTCAAACCAAGGGTCTGCTTCTTAACCACCCAGATGATATCGAGGGAAGAATAGCTTTTCTGAACCTTCGGTACCATAGAGAGCCATAGTAGCAGTGGAACAGAACGCTGTTTTTAGGAGCCCATGAAATTAGATTTAAATTCTTCATTGGTTACCTGTAGGATCTTCAGCTATTAAATGGGAATATAAACACTTCCTTTTCAGGGTTCTCATGGTAATTAAATAAGATAGTGTATTAAAGCGCTTAGGACAGAGCTTGGCTCATAGCAGGTATTCAATAAATAATAGCTATTATTTTTCTTTATCTGTTAAATGGAGACAGTGCTGGTTATCTCACAGGGTTATGATCTGATTAGATTATGTATATGAAAGCAATAGGCTGGGCCTCCTCTGTGTAGTCCTATTTCTAATTGTAAGTGCCAAGAGCCCACTTTTTTTTTTTTAAAGCCTGTTCTAATGTTCCTTTCTAAAGTCGGGCCATTGCCTTTTTCATCTGTCTGGTGCACCATAAAAGTCATGTGCATTTTTTAAAAAGTGATCTCTCACTTTTCTTCTGTTTTAGGCTGCACGTTTCTAGGTTTGAGTGTCTTCCCATTTAGAAATCTTTGTCCCACACCAGGCTGGGAAAGCCTTGCAGGAGACGGCACACCCACCACGCCCAGCCTAGGTTCGTCCTGCCGCGGTGCCGGCCCCTCGGTGCCAGCCCCGCGGTCTGCCCAGAGGCACTGGGTCGCGACAAGGCGGGACGGGCCAATCAGAAGAAGTTTGGCCCTCTGCAGTTTCCGTCCGCTCACTAGGAGGCGCTGCGGCGGCGGCGGCGGCGGCGGCGGCTGCCGGGGCTGTCGCGGGCTAGGGCGGTTGGGCTGGCGGCTGAGGTTGGTGGCCATGGAGTGGGGTTACGAGACGGCTGCTGTGAGGAGGCACCGCGTCGGAGGGGAGCGTCGGGAGGGACCCGAGGACGCGCCGCCGCCGGAGAGGGAGGCCCCGGAGCAGGAGCCCCTGGCGGATGCGTGCGGCGGCAGAGGCGGCGGCGCGAGGACGCGGAAGAGGAGCCCGGGGGGTAGCGGCGGCGCGAGCCGGGGCGCGGGGACTGGGCTGTCTGAGGCGCGCGCCGCGCTGGGGCTCGCGCTCTACCTGCTCGCGCTGCGGACTCTTGTGCAGCTGTCGCTGCAGCAGCTCGTGCTGCGCAAGGCCACTGGCCACCGCGGGGAGTTCGACGCGCACCAAGCCAGGTACCGGCCGCTCCCTCCTAGCATGGCCCGCGCGTCCCTTTGCGGCTCCTGCCTGGGGGTCAGGGCACCGCACTTGTGTGCACCCGCCCCTGCGGGACCGCTGGGGCTCGCCGGCCCCTCCCGGGCTGCACGTGGCGGGGGTAGCCTTGCATATCTTTCTTCTAGGTTCTGAATTGCCGGGGCGTGGGATTTGCCTGGCTCCTTGTTAAACTCGTGGTGCAGCTTAGGGGTGGCTAGGTGAATTGAGCGTGCTTTTTCACCCACTGTCTGCTCTGTGTGGAGATAGTTGGTGGTTAGTCGTCCCCTCATCTTCTGGGGCAACTTCCACTTTTTACCTTGGTTTGCGCTCCTGCTTTCCAAATGAAATGGAGAGTGAAATTTGTGTACCTATATTGTTTTATAAATTGGTTTGGGGCACGGGGCGTTGGAAGCGCCTAGTGCAGTATTCTAACTTTCTGAGGGTCACAATCCCCAAATTCGTAAGCTCTGGAGGCTCTCCTTGGAACACTGCTCAGTCAAAACTTTGCATGAAGTTTGAAAAGTTCTCAGATCCTTGCAGTTTGTCTTTGGGCCTCTGGATTATGTGACTGTAAGGTTTGACTTTTTTTTTTTTTTAAATACCGTTAAGTATGCTAGGACAGGTGATTGTCAAAGGTATTGTAACCCAAGTGTGTGAAAGCTCATAAAATCATGAACTAGCAGGAAGTTTTCAACAGCCACTGTGTTTTAAAAACTTTTTCTTTGAACACAAAGTGCTGAAAGCTTATTTTCTTAAGGACTTTCTGGGACACCCCCATCGCCCCCGTTTCTCCACTTGGAAGGCAGTTAAAAGACAGAAAAAAGAAATTTGTTTTCATTAGGGGTAGAGTTGGTTTTGGCCTAAATTACTAGGGGGGCTGGGTCCATTCCTAATCAACAGAAATTTTTCTTTGCTTATTTAACTTCTTGACTTGTCTTTGCATTGATATTTGCTACTAGAAGTAGTGACCCAGAATTAATAACCCCAGGAATATGGGGCTTAGCACAATGAAGTTATATTCTGTCCTGCCTAGCCTTCGGCAGTCACACACTGTGTGAATACAATTCTTAGCCTTTGTATTGATTTGATATAGGGAGAAGTTGAGAGTGCAGTGAATGGAGAAAACAAGGGATCAAGTCATGAGAGGCAAAATAAAATGATGGAACTTTGCAAGTGATTTTCACAACATGTCTGAAATAGTAAAAGGTAGTCTTTAAAAAATGAGAAGTCAAAGAACTAAGCTTTTTGTGGGGAGGAAGGGGAGTGTAGTGGAAAATTTGCTCTGTGCTGTTATTTTTAAGCATACGAACCTTTGTCGTCATCATTCTTTTGGTTGCTTCCAGGGATTATCTTGAACACATAACATCTATTGGTCCCAGGACTACAGGAAGTCCAGAAAATGAAATTCTGACAGTGCACTACCTTTTGGAACAGATTAAACTGATTGAAGTGCAAAGCAACAGCCTTCACAAGATTTCAGTAGATGTACAACGGCCTGTAGGTTCTTTTAGCATTGACTTTTTGGGAGGTTTTACCAGCTACTATGACAACATCACCAATGTTGTGGTAAAGCTGGAACCCAGGGATGGAGCCCAGCATGCTATCCTGGCTAACTGTCATTTTGACTCAGTGGCAAACTCACCAGGTATGTACCTGTTTTTTTTTTTTTTTGTCATTTTGAAGTCACAGTCCAGAAAGTTTATTAATGTAACCTCAAGCTGCTTGGACAATTGTGGGGACCATTTCTTTTTTGGCAAACCTTTTTTCATTGTGATAAAAGGTGGGGTAATTAGACTTGTATTATTTAGTTTAGGATCTGATCTTTCAGTAGTCTCTTAAGTGCTTTATTATTATTATTATTTTAACATTAATGCCAGCAGCCCAATGACAGGACTTGGAGTGTTTCTGGTAGACTGAAGCAGCCTTGTCAGTATTACCAGACTGCATGTGTCTCTATGTCTTCGAGTTGAGTTCTGCCACTCCAGATGTTACTCAGCTGGATGTTGTACTAAGCTTTGGGGATACTGGATCAAGGACAGCCCCTGTCTTCAGGGATGCATGGTTTGGAGGATATCTTCTCTAACAGCTTCTGTTGACCTGTAAATTGAGAATTTTGGTCCACGGAGGGTGCCATACTGTTAGAGTACCTAAAATAATCCATAAATCTTGGTCTGAAAATATTTTGGCAAAATAGAATACTTGATGTTATAACAGTGCCTGACAAATAAATATTTGTTCAAATGAATGAGAAGCCCCTAAATTGAACTTCCATTTATTATGATAATATTCCACAGAAATATTTTTTCAATAGTTGAAGAGATTATAAGAAGGGAAGAATAGAAAATAGCATTTTACAATGGTATTGTAGCATTTTACAATGGTATTGTAGCATTTTAGTGGTAGATAAGATCTGAGATGGCAGCTGACTCAACCCCCTCATTTGACACAGGGATAAATTTAGCTGATCACTGCTGATCAGAGACAACTGGGATAAGATGCTGAGTTTCCTGGCCAGTCAGTTCTTTCAGCTACATTTGAAAAGAAGGAGAATATTAGAGTGTAACTAATGCTCCCTTTGGCAAATTACTTAACCTCTTCTTTTCTCAGTTTCTCCTCTGTGAAATGGAGAAAATAATAATACTTTGCTTGGAGGATTAAATATAAGTCAAATATAAGAACAGCACCTGGCATGGAAATTTTTTTTTTGCTATTAACTGTTATTGAATATTAATACTTCTGGATTGCGTAAACTTATAGCAGACTCAATATGAACATGTAGAGTTATTGCATTTATAATGTAATTTGCTTTATCAAAAATCAGTATACACATTTGTTATATAAAGGCAGAAATACCTTTGTATGTGCTGGGGAAACCAGTGGTCTTATGTTCATGTCAAAGCAGTCATAAGAGTCACCCTATGCCTACAATTATGATGCTTAAATTTTAGGAATGGGCAAATAAACACCATGGTTGCTTAAGAACGTTATGTAAGAAAGATGTATGTACAAGAATCAGAAACAAATGTAGGGAAAGAAAAATAGTTTTCCCTCCACCCTTCATAGTTTTTAGCTGAGATGGACCCCTGTAACAAAAGACAGGTTAACAAGAGAAAAACAAACAGAAGTTTATTAACATGTATACCTCATGTATACATGGGAGATACCCAGGGAAAATGAGTAAATCTCAAAGCGTTGGGTTAGAAATCTGGCTTATGTAGCATCTTTAACAAAGAACAGTATGTTTTTGGTGAAGTGACAAGACAAAGGAAAAGGACCTTGAGTCTTTAGGGGTTGCAAATTGTAGGAAGGCAAATAAATGGTAGATAGAGGTTATTAAAGTTTGTTATGTAGATTCCTCTGGTGCTGTCACCAGGTTGATAAAAATTTAAAGTTGTCTTTGGTGATCAACCTTTTTCCTTTTTGGTAGAGGGGAGGTGGGACACCTTTGTAAATTTATAACCTGCTTTTAGGCAAATAGGGAGAGAGCAGAGGGATTTTTTTGTTCAGTATCTACTTCTCAGTTGCCTTCAGCTCAAAATAATCCTTATGCCAAAGTGGCATATTTTGGGGTGACAAGTTCTACTACCTTCACAAACATAGGTGCCATATATTACAATTTGCATACATGGAGTCTAAAGGATGGCATTTTTATGAGCCATTAGAACCCACTTTTAACTGAAATTTTATAATAATATCCATACCAGCAATCTCAAGGAAATTTCTGTCAATAATAAGTTGTTAAAAATAGTGTTTTACACATTCATCAAATATATTAGTGGTTGGACTAATTGAAGCATGGGTTTTGTTTTTTTTTTTTATTCTTAGCATATCTGAGACTCAGGAACTGATACCAATTAGTAGCAATGTTATCCACAGAAAGCCCTTAATTATCTTGACTCTGATGTGTAGTTCCAGGTCATTGTTAGAAGAGACATTAAGTTATTTTGAGGGTGGCTTCAGTTTCAAGGTTAATTCTAAATGGAGAGGGATGTTAGTTAATCACCCAGCCCTTCAGATGATGCCCTCTTACTTTCCTTCATTTTCTTAGAGATATTTGACCCGTCTTTACTTCTCTTCTCAGACAGCACAACCATTAAGGAAAGAGAAGATAAATGGACAGTTTAACTTTTTAAGCAACTCTACTTAGATACATACCTTTAAATTTCTTTTTCTCTTACTTTGAATAAAGAAAAATTTTATGGTTTGCTTTTTATTTTAAAGTAACAGTCTCAAAGTAAAAAAGCTTATTTCATTTGATTTCTGAAAGGTAGCACTATTTATTATAGCAACTATACTTCCTACTTGATAGTAATTAGATAATTATTACTTGGTTTCACTTTGATTAAAATACAATCCAATAATCACCACTGAGACACGTATAGTTAATAAGTAGTTTCTTCTTGAGTAGGAATTGGGTCTGAAATTGAACAGAGCCCAAACAAGCGTTTCAGCTGGCTACAGAGCCTTCCTAAAGTTTGCAAAGAGAAGGAAGAGCTAACATTGATTGCTTGCCAGGTGTCAGGTGCTGTGCATTATCTTGTGAAATCCTCATAACACACCTGTAAGGTAGATATCATTAGCCTGCTCTCTAGACCAGAAAATAGTGGAGTAAAGCCACAGAGCTAAAATTTACTTCCAGATCTTTCTTGCTCTAAAATCCACACCAGACTCTTTAGCACCCTGCCTCCCAGTGCATAAACCCAGAAATGTTATTGTCTGGGATATTACACTGCCTATTTACTTTGATTACCCTTTAAACGTTTTATTATGGAAAATTTCAAACACATACAAAAGCAGAATTGTTTAAGGAACCCCAGTGTACCTGTCACCCAGCTTCAACAGTGCTATTTTATTTCTTTCCTACTTCCACTGCTCCCTCCTCAACTCCTTGATTATTTTGAAGTAGATCTTAGCTATATCAGTTCCTCTGAAGTATTTCAGTTTAAATTGCTGAAAGATAAGGACCCGTTTTGATACAGTCATAATACCATGAATTGCCTCACCTAGAAAACCTAACTGTAATTCCTTGGTATCATCAAATATCCAGTCAGTTCATTTACCTGCCTCTTTTAGTGCTTTAAAAAAGCAAGGCACTAAAGTCATCTCTATAGTTACTTTTAATTAACATATAAAGTTTCTGAATCAAGAAGACCATTAAGAGATTTGACTAAGTTCTCTACTTTCTCAGTGCTGGGACCAGGGATACTACTCAGGTCATTAGTATCCTTTCCTGTGTCTTATTAGAGGAGATGACTTCTTTGTACTTTTCCATCACATCATCTCTTTGGAGAGACCTTAAAAAAATGTTACATCATCCAAATGGACCCCTCGAGTGACCTGCAGCTTTTGTGATATTGGCAGGAAAACAAGCAAGAAAGGAGTGGGTGGCAGTGGGAGATGATGGAGGAAGCTGTGAGCAGCAGAAGTGAGACCAATACGGAGGATGTGGAATACAGGAAAGAATGGAAAATCTCCTTGGGTCGGTGAGAGTGCCAGTTTTCAGGAGGACTTTAGGTTTCATCTGGTTGATTTAGTCAATAGATATTAATTGATTGTTGTGGGCCGGGCATGGTTCCAGGCATTGAAAGTCAGTGAGTAAACCAGAGATCCCGTCCCTCATGGAGCTTACTGCCAGTGGGTGTCATTGTCACCTGATAATGACAGAGCTATGCTTCTGGTCTTGCAGCTATTGTGATGTTTGTCTGAGGAGAAAACTCCATTCCTAACCATGATGGTTCATACTGTAAAGGTTTTAAAATCTGAGAAGCAAATCTGTTTTTCTGATTTGAAGGTGCCAGTGATGATGCAGTTAGCTGTTCAGTGATGCTGGAAGTCCTTCGCGTCTTGTCAACATCTTCAGAAGCCCTACATCATGGCATCGTGTTTCTCTTTAATGGTGCTGAGGAAAATGTCTTGCAAGTGAGATTTTACTGTTTTAAATACTAGGCTCGAATAATGATGACAATAATAATAGCTAAAACTGACACATTTTTGTCAATCATGTGACTAGTATCATAAAATGATACACAAAAGAAATACTGTATTTGGCAGGACTTTAAAAAATTCACAACCATTTACGTAGATATGTTCAATATTTGGAAAACTCAACTCAGAGCGGATCCTCTTGGCAATGTTTGATTTATAAAAGGGCTCTTTGATGGCATGGTTACTTTCCTCAGGTTTTCTTTGACATTGGAGTTTCAGAGATGTTTTCAGGTAGACACACAGCAAGAATGCCCAGCCACATGGATCGTCCCTTCTCTTCTCCCATTCTCCTTGCCCTTTTTTTGCACTTACCAAGGACATTGTTTGGCACCACTCATGGTAATCATGCTGCCTTCTGTGATGGGTAACTTTCCACACCCATAATGTGCACAGCCAGTATGCATAGAAAGAGAAGTAGAAAATGTCTTTAGATTCTGCCTTTGAAAAATGAGTATTTTGTTTTCATATTTCTCACCTCATCAAGATAGTCTTTCTGTCCTTAAATAAGCAAAATAAAGACTTTGATAACTTAAGATTGTTTAACCAAGATTTGTTTCCTTTCCTTCTCATTAAGGCCAGTCATGGTTTCATTACTCAGCACCCCTGGGCCAGCTTGATTCGTGCATTTATTAACTTGGAGGCAGCGGGTGTAGGAGGGAAAGAACTTGTATTCCAAACAGGTATGTGAGCCTGTGCACTGTATATTTTAATGCAATTCTAGTTTTTATAAAAGAGGAAAGTTTTTGAATGTAATTAATCTCTTTAATGAACCATCTCTTGAATGAGCATTCTTTTTAAAGCTTGAGCTAGTGTTAGCTTGTCTTTGTTAAAATTTTTTATTTTATAATAATAAAATAACAGCATCTATCACTTATATAGTGCTGATTATATGTCAAATGCTCTAAGCATTTTAGCATATTAAGTCATTTACTCTTCAAAACAACATGAGGGATAAATACTATTGTTACTTCCAATTTAGAGATAAAACTGAGGCAAAAGAGATTATAACTTGCCCAGGCTTTCATAGTTGGTCAATGGCAGAGTGGGATTTGAACCTAGACAGTCCAGGTTCAGAGCCTATGTTCTTAACCATTAATCA